TGTTCCATATTAATGATAGTCTTGTTCTATTTGTATTAGGACACACTATGGTTCATTTCTACTATGCTTTCACAAGTTGATCTGTTGGATTATTCTGATATTCGTTGTATTATTCATGATCATTCTTTCTTTTTTAACAATAATTCCAAATGAAAAAAATCAAGCTGTAATATCAGGTATAATCTTCTTTACACATAACTTTCACAATGTTAAAATTGAATTTATTGGAACGATAAAAATCTGTCATTCAATTCTAAAGTACTGTGTTTCTTCATAATGACAAATCAAATAGAGTTAGTTAGCAGATACAAATCTCACAAGTTTCTAATAGTTGATAACAAAAATCTTTGTTTTTACCAGAATCTCATGTCAAAATCGCTTGAGTCTTCTTAACTAAGAAACTAGATTAACTACATTATTTTACGAGATAACTTCAGATTATCATAGAAAATAGAAGAAAACTTGTTTTGAAAATAACTGCAAATTATTGTATTGGATAACCAAATATCTAATGAGCATTATCTATAGACACGTCTGCTGAAATTTAGGACAAGTTTATAAGCATTGAATCATAATAGAGTGGGACTTTTCAATGTTGTACATAATTTTCTGCTAGAAACATTTGTGAACTTTCTCTATTAATTATTATTTGAATTTGTATTTGAGTAAATGATTATTTCTTTGTTAGCTTCATTAATCAACACTACTACTAGTATAACTACAACTACAACTAACAACATAACACAAATGCTGACAACTAATATATCAACAACAACATTCTCTTCAACACCGACAACAATTTCTTCATCAACAGGTCTGAAGATTAAAACTGTTCTGTTTTAAAGATAGGGTCATTAAAAAGGAAAATCAAACTCTCATTATAATTGTATTTTATGATTTTTACTGTAAAAGGATAACTATAAAAATTCGACTATCTCATTTATTCGACACTATACATTAAACAATTTATCAATCTCTGTTTTGATCATATAATATCAGCCAAAAAACATTGTGATACATGATGTTTTTATTCTAAATGTTCCATTCATTCATTTCCACATTCAATTGTTTTTTTCATATAAAACTAACGCAATCTATTTTCCAAGGTACCCGATACTAGTATATCTGAAGAACCGTTAGGTACTTCAGTATCTACAAGTACTTTTCATGTTTTCAATATTGATACTAGAGTACTTCTACTTGCTCAATCGACTAACTTTTTAAAAGTTCTTCAGAAAATTCTATAGAGAGGGTGTGGGTGTGCGTGTTATTTTCTCATCCACATCCGCATCCACTCACACCCCTCAAGATTGTTGTATGATAATTAATCGATGCATCTAAAACAGTCAATTACTCAAATGATCTTTCATCCTCAATGTTCGCACTAGAACTTGCAAACGTTTTATATTTCCCTCAATCATTTTCATTTTAAACTCACGATGTTCAGCTAGTTTCTCAACGACTAGTTAGTACACTGTAAGCTGAAAATCTTTGCCTAGGAGGAAATAGTAGATTTCAGGACTTCAACGACCTCCACAGACTTCAATAAGCGAAACTTCAGTTTTTCGAAAGACTTCAAAAAACTTCACCGACTTCAAGGGACTTCAAAGACTCCGATAGACTTTTAAGATTTTAAAATACTTTCAAGATATTATGAGACTTGATGCATAAAGTCTCTGTTGTTTTCCCATCGATCTTTGCTTACTATCTAAATTATGATATTCCTAGAGAGTTCATCATTGTTTCGATGGTGAATTTTATTAATTGTTATTGAATTACGATAATTTAATGTTTTGCAGTGGTTTGGGTCAAAATCGCATCCGATAGTGTTATTGGTGATGAAAACTGTGCTGGAATTGGCTATAATACGTCGATAACACTGAGTTCATGTGAAAGTGCTTGTCTGGCTATGGCTAGTTGTACAGCAATCGATTTTAATCCAGCTACTGGGCAATGTACGTATCGTCAATGCACTCCCTATCCGCCAAATTATCGAAGCCAAAGTGGTTGGGAAGTATGGGCCATCCCAACCAGTTGTAAGTAATTTAATAAATGGCGAGCATACCTTATATCTGTTTGAAAAAGGCTGGCTTCATGAGACATCGAACAGCCGGTTATGAAGCTAGAAGTGACAGGCGATATAAAATGGAATATTATTTGTAGGAGTTCGGCTCTGTTTGTTTTCGATACTGTTTATTTAGATCGAGTGGACATACTCCGGTAAATTATTCCGGCTGTGGGAAACGGCGTTTTCCTGCCTTATTTTTAGTTGTATTTCACCGTAATCTGTCAACCGAGAATACGAGCCGTTTTTTCATTAGAAACCGGTCATCGTTTTCCGCCTTATTCTTATACATTTCAGGATTGACGGACTACGGTGACGTTCTGGAACCGTTTTTTTGGCCGTATTTTTCCGGTTTTCTATCGGTTAAGGCCGTTTCCGACGCCGTTGTGTTTGCAGTGAGTAAGTGATATGTGAGAGCTTCCTTTTCAAACGGTTAGGCTGATACATGAGACGGAAGACTAGTATAAAGTAGTAGAATTTATTACACTGTAAAACATGAGTGTAGAATAATAAACCCTTCAAAAGGTGTGCTTAATCTCATAAACCCTCTCATATACCGTTTTCGTATGATAAACCCTTTCATAAGCCCTTTGTCTTCATCAACCATTGGAAGAGTATATTATACGTTGCACCTTCATACACGCTTTAAGGTATATGAACCGTAATATACCCTTAAAGGGTTTTTTAACTTCATAAACTCTACGGAAAATCGTTTAATAATATACCACTGATAAGAAACCGTAGAATAAAAAATTCTTTTTCGAAGGATTTATGAAGTTAAAAAACTCTTCAAGGATATATTACTCCTCATATACCCTAAAGCGTTTATGAAAGTGCAAAGTATAATATACCTTTCGTAGTTGACGAAGAAAAAGAATTATTCTACACTCATTTTTTAAAGTGTACAGTTTATTAATCGAAACATCCTTTTAAATGTCAGTATGTTTGTGTGTACAATTTCTTACTATGAATACTATTCACATATCAATATAGACAATTTCTCTTCGTATAAAACAGAAAGCGAGAACTCAAAAGAGAATGATAAACGATCGATATCATGCAGAGGTCGTGTACTTTCATAAATACAAGAATGGTAGTGTAATCGTCGGGATACGATATACGATTGTTGTATAGTAATTAATCGATACATTCAAAACAGTCAACTACTCAAATGATCGTTCATCCTCCAAGTTCGCACTAGAATTTACAAAAGTTTTATATCTTCCTCAATCATTTTCATTTAAAACTCACGGTGTTCCACTAGTTTCTCGACAGTTAGGTAGTACGCTTTGAACTGCAAATATTTGCTTACTATCTAAATTATGACGCTCCTAGAGAGTTCATCATTGTCTCGATAGTGAGTTTTATTAATTGCTGTTAAATTGCGAGAATTTATTATTTTACAGTGGTTTGGGTCAAAATTGCATCTGATAGTGTTATTGGTAATGCAAATTGTGTTGAAGTTGCCTATAGTCCGTCGACAACAATGAATTTTTGTGAAAGTTCTTGTCTGTTTTTGACTCATTGTACAGCAATCGATTTTAATCCAGCTACTGAGCAATGTAAGTATCGTTATTGCACCACTTATCCGCCAAAATATCAAAGCCAACGTGGCTGGGAAGTATGGGCGATAGAAAGAGCAATATCAACTATAACTAATTGTAAGTAATTTATTAAATGGTTAATGCATCCTCAATCTGCTTGAACACGATTGGCTTCATGAAAAATCGAAAAGCCGATTATGAAGCTAGATTTGGGTGTGAATTACTTTAAGACATGAATACTATCCACACCCACACCCTAAAGTTCTATTGTCATTCGGCGAACTAATCCTAACGAAATATGTGCTTTTCGTTATTACAAATGTTACTATATTATAATAATCTAAATTGTGTGAAACTTAATTTTTTATGTGTTAGTATATTTCTGACAGTTGTCTGAAGAATATTTCTTAGTTAATTGTCAAGAGTAGCAAATAGTCAAGTATCTGACATGCTGAAAAAATTGAATGTTTTTGACATAGTTTATTTAACTATTGATCTGTAGTTATATAATAAGGGAAACACAAGTCAGATATACTGAATTGAGAAGCACTATTCTAGTTTATGTTGCCATAACCGTTATGCAAAACCTTTTTATCATAAGTGTATTCCCATGTGCTCTGTTTTCTTCTCTGATTAAAAAGCTATCTTCTTAAATTCTTTTCGTTCATTCTATTCTTTTTATCCCTGTGAAATCCATGATGCGAATGAGTGATATTTGTCTTTCTCTAATGTTTTTTCGATTCCATCTAAAACACATTACTCCCATTTTATATTTCAAATGTTCTGACATTATTGAGTTAATATCATGACGATTTGTCGAAATTTGTAATATATAAGTGTAAAATATTGACCTTACAATCTATATGAGTTACTCTTTCAATCTATTATTTCTTATTCATTTAAATATAATTTTTATTTTCTCACTTTTTCACCTAAATAGTTTAGTATCACTGGGTAGATCTGATTACATTCTAATGATACAAGAAAGTTTTCAAATGAAATCATATATTTTCACATAACGGTTACTATCATATAATACTGATTGAATATCAGTGATCATCAATACACATGGAATTTACCAATATTTTGTCACAAAATGATTTTTTTAAACTCTTTTCTTTAGATAATTTCATGTCATTCGGTAGTTCTCGGTGAGCGTTATTATTTAATATAGAGTGTAGAGTCGATCCATAAATTTCAGATAACTATTTCAATACTACAGTATAGTATTTGTTTCTATCTAATTTATGAATATTTGATCTTGAGAATAAAAGCTTCTTCAGCAAAAAAGATGGCACATTTTACTCATCTAATTCATTTCAATATACTGTTTAGGATTGTCTATCATTTTGCCCGTATTATTCTAAACATAAAGAAGATCTAAAAGAGAAAATTGCTTTCAAAATGATTCTAATGAATTATTTGTTTTATGTCTATTGCAGATAGAGAAAGTAAGATGACAAAGTAAGTAAGTAATGTGAGTTAGTATAATTCATATCTATTAAAGATCAGATATTCAATAAGGATTTTTGATGTTATTCATTTTATTATATATGTCGAAACGGACTATCACGCTTATGTATTGAATCACTAAAATCTAATAATAACGAAACTCTTCTGAATGATATTCAATACTCTGAAATTTTTATTACAAAAAACGTTCCATATATATAGTTGATATTCTAATATTTTGATTTATTAAATGGATGAATAGATAAAATTGACGATGAGTAATTGAATGTCTTTGATGGAGTTAGGTATGTTTTAATCTATTGTAACAATTTAAACTTAAGAAAGTAATTGACAATATATCTGCGTTTAGTACTTCCTGCAATGTTCATAACTTTGATATAAATATAGTTATCATAATTTGTTTTCTATTGGTCTAAACTACAGTATCATATTTTCTCATAAGCTCAGTTTCGATAAACTCTTATTTTATTAGTTTATCAGATTTTTATCAGTGACATACATCTTCACTTAATTGTTTCTAATGAATTATTTACATACATATATTATTATATTTTCCTTTTCCTAGCATCATCATCATCGTGTCAGTTAACGTTTGAAAAAGTCTATGTATATAACAATGTATATCACATTGACGACACATTAAATGGGGCAATTGCTGTGAGTGATTTAAATAATGATGGTCTATGGGATATTCTTATACCTCTTTTTCACGCTAACTCGCCCCGTATTGCAATACTGTTTGGAAACGGCAATGGTTCCTTTATAAGATCAACAATGACAGACACGGGATGTGGATATCCTGCAGCATATGTCGTTGTCGCTGATATCAATAAGGATGTTCAGATGGATATTGTTACTGCTTGTATCAGATACGAAGGTAGACTAGGTATCTTACTTGGAGATGGTGACGAAACGTTTCGTGAGACAACATCATATTCAACAGGACGAGCTAGTAGTCCCATATGGCTCGACACCGGTGATTTCAATGGTGACGGTAACTTAGACATTGTTGCTTCTCTAAGTGGAATTCTCGGTGATCGTAGTGTAGGAGTGTTGCTTGGAGATGGTAATGGATTCTTCGAAGGATGTAAACAATATTCGGCAGGACAGAACAGTCCTCCGATGTCACTTGTTGTTGGTGATTTCGATAATGACAGACTATTAGACATTGCTATCGGCAAATTAAATGAGCCACGGATCATTGTGCTTCGAGGATATGGTAATGGAAGTTTTGGACCACCCATAGCCAATGAACAGGAAAGCATCATCTTTTCGAGTTGGATAGGTGCCGCTGATATCAATAATGACGGTTATCTAGACATTATCGTCACAAACATAGGCCTGAGCAATGTAGCTGTACTTCTTGGAAAGGGCGATGGAACTTTCAGACCAACAATGACGTTTTCAACGGGATATTTTAGTGCACCACGCTCGGCTGCTATTGAAGATTTCAATGGCGATGGTATGCTCGACATCGCTGTCCTGAATGGCGCAGTCTGGAATGTGGGAGTGCTTCTTGGATATGGGAATGGAACCTTTGGATTACCAATGACATTTTCGTTTCCATTTGGAATGTCTTTGCTCACTATGGCTGCAGCTGATTTTAATCGTGATGGTCGGATGGATATTGCTGTTGCCATCCAATCATCGACGATTAGTTTATGTATTCTGATAAACACATGTGAATGCTGTGAACGGGAATTTTTCAATATGAGTAGAATCACTCATCAATGAATAAATTCAATTTCATTGGAGATTTAGAACATTTCATGGACTATTGACAGAAAGAATTCAACTTAAAGAAAAACGGCTTTGAATGTGCTTTTTGTTTGTTAAAAATAACCCGCAAAACTTGTTTAAATCAATATTTGCCTATCTCTATAATTCACAGCTTTAAAAAAATATTGGTGAAATATTGTCGCATGAGACATAGGAAGTATTGATGAATACATTGTTCTTAATTATTTTTCTTTTGATTATTGTTGTCTTTGTTGTTTTGATAAGCTTAATCGACTTATAAAATTGCTTTTAATTTTTGTTTTACTTATTACTAAATATATTAACCACCTTGGTGTTGTCTTAATTAACTAATTGATTACAAATACGAATGGAATCAAAAGATGGTACAACACATCGCAAACTGTGCTTATTGAATCGTGTCGATATATAGTAATTTAACAGATTTTAAATAGTGAAATACAAAGATATGTCGTACAAATGTAATTATTATCATAAACAAAAGAGAAGAATAATAAATAAGAACGTGGTTATATTTGATAATATGTTGATTATTTGATATTACATTTAATTGACGATTATAGAACTTTTTTTACATGATATAATATACGACTGATTTGCAAAAATGGCAGACCATCATATTTCTCACTTTAAAAAAACAATGCAGTGTTGCAGAAATATTCAAACTTTCGTATATTCACTCTGAATTCAAAAAATATTTATCAAGTTCTTCAAAGATTGACTTGAGATGATATTCGTATTGAAATAATATTGAACAAATTTTGTTGTTGTATTTTAAAAATATTATTCTGATTTCAATATAATAAAATTAATGATCAATATCTTGTTCAATTATAAAGATTTTTATTTTATTTTGATTAATAAATAAAAATAAATTTATCTTTATTAAATATTGATGATTTTATTTAATCATTGAAAATATTAAATTTAATCTTTCTAAATTAGTTGATCTTTTACAAATAAAATAAATTTAGTTATTTATATCTGAGAAAAATTAATTTTATTTAAAAATTTGTCAAATCAAAATTTTTATAGAATTTCTATGAGAAAATTTATTTTAAAGAATAAATCATTTTGTAAATATGTTTTAATCAGGAAAAAGATCATTAATTTCAATCATCACAGATATTTTATGTATCAATGCTGAGATATATAGAAAAACGTTTTCGGATAATTCACTTATGTACAATACTTTCGTTTTTATGATGAAATCTTATTTATTTACTTCGATATAGGCTTTTGTTTTTCAATTAAATCGTTTCTATTTTATCAACATTTTTATTTTCAAAAGATTTTCAATTTCATCAACGAACAAAACTAAATTACTGAAAATATTAATTTAAGTTGAAATTATTTCCAACTTTCTTCATCTTATTTACTTTTCATTTTTCAGTCTTGTTTCTTTATGAAGCACTAAAAACCTATTTCATCAAAATATAAAACGTGTTTTTTTCTTTTCTTCCTAATTGAAGATCTCATCAGTGAGATTTTGTTACAATTAGTAATTTGATGTCACAACAGAATTCTTTTTCGATTTCTTCTACTACCAAACAATGCTTTTATTATCATTGCGTCATCAAGTTTATATTCATGAAAGTAGATAAGCATAGATACTCATTTCTTCTATAAACTTCTATTCAAAGATATGGCAAGAGCAAATAACAACACACAATGTTTTACATGTAATGAAAACAAATTAACATATTCTTGTGAAGGATGTTCAAAAAGATTTTGTTTTCAACATTTAACAGAACATCAACAAATGTTAAATGATGAATTAAATCATATTATTAATAATTATAATCAACTTAAACAAATACTTGATGAAAAAAAAACAAAATCATTCATTGACAAAACAAATTAATCAGTGGGAAATAAATTCAATTGAAATAATTCGACAAAAAGCACAAGATTATAGAAAAATTATTGTTGAATCTTTACAAACATGTATTAATGATATTGAAATGAAATTTAATAATTTAAGTGAACAAATAAAACAAATTCATAAAGAAAATGAACTTAATGAAATTAATTTAAATTATTTAAAAGATAAATTAATTAAAATTACAAAAAAATTAAATAATTCGACAAAGATTTCTATCGAAGAAGATTCACAACTGTTTATTAATGAAATTTCAATCGTTGTACCAAAAAGTAAGCTTTTAAGAAATAATTTTTATTTTCTATAAAATCATGTTGAAAAACTATAAAAACAAGGGTGTGGGTGGGTGTGTGAGGGTGTGGGTGTGGGTGTGTGAGGGTGTGGGTGTGGGTGTGGATGTAGATGTGAGTTTGGGTGTGGGTGTGGATGTGGGTGGTTGTCATTAAGATATATAATACCTGCACCTAAACCACACCCACACCCACACCCACACCTTGCGGATGTGGGTGTAGGTATAAATATTATATCTATAATACACCCACTGAGGACAGGAAGCAACCAACATCTCCGAAAAACCAATTCTTATTAGGGATATCGCCTGTACCGAATATCCATAAAAGTAGATGTTCTTCTTTTTGTTCTGTTATATATACTTATAATGGGTATATTTTGTTGTGTCAATATGAAAGTTGGAAAGGGAGAATAATAAGTAAAGAAAGACTAAATTTTCGAACAAGCATATAAATATCCCATTTTTTCGTCGCTATACATCTCTCTTCATTAATCTAAAACCATAAACCAAAGTAACCGTTTTGTAATAGTGTTATTAACAAAATTTGTCGAGTGGGTGCGGGTGTAGATATAGTAATCACACGCCATGGATATTCATACCCACGCCTACACCCTCAATGTGGAGATTACTGATGATTTTTAACGAAGATATCTCTCTGCGTGACTGCGTATATGAACTAACTATAACCCGATATTTCAAATGAAACTTAAAATCTCAGAAAAATCAGCCAAACAATAAATTTTTGTTTGGCTGCTACAATGAAAACAAGTGACACGTTTTTATTTTTCTCATCAAATGCTTCTAATATAATGTTAAAGCTTTCACGATAAGCCGGGTAATCGACGATGTATTTATGATATAAAAAAAGAAAGTGTGCCGTTTCTTTCGATATATCAGTCGTTTCACTATTCATTCTCCAAGTCTTCACAACAGACGAGTTTTTGCTGTTTTTCTCGTTTAAAATATGAAAAGTAACCTGATACTCATCTTCATCGTTATCTTGGTCGAAGCAGAACTCACTGTAATGTACTATTTTCTTATTATTTATCCATAACATTATTTTGCGCGTTGACCTGCATGTAAATCATTGCGGCAGACGGAAATAGCGTTTTACTGCCTTACTTTTGGTCTTATTTCTACACATTTCTGGATTGACAGTTTGCGACGCTGTTGTCTTTGCCCTAGGACACTTGCTACATTAGATATATTCTTTATTAATTGTTTTCTTCCCCAAGTTACATCTCGATCATTCAATCTCAAGATATAAACCAAGAGATCAATGGTAAAGATGTAAGTATGCAGCAGCGTGCGCATCTAGAACTAGTTACATCAAGGTACTTATAACAGTCGACCGCATCATAACGCGCTAAGAGAATGAGAGTCAAAACTGCGAGTGTACATCGGCTTATTGAGAATCAAAAACGTTGATTGTTCATCTTAGTTTAGTAAAATAAAAAAAACGAAATACTAATCTCGAACCATACATTCTCCACATGTTGTAGAGGGTGTGAATATAGAACCTAGAGACAATCCACAATCACATTCTATTCGTCGGTTTCAATGTTTCAGATGTTTGCTTCTTACGAAAATTTGCTAACAGAGAATGCTGAAGAAACACAATATTTAGATCTAGTACGTCAAGTAATCGAGAAAGGCTTGCAAAAAACCGATCGGACTGATGTTGGTACTCGTTCAATCTTTGGTCCGCAAAACATGAAATTCAATTTACGAAACAATCGACTGCCGCTGCTTACAACTAAACGTATGTTTTGGAAGGGCATTGTTGAGGAACTTATATGGATGATTGGTGGAAAGACTGATTCAAAATTGCTCGACATTAAAGGTGTTAAAATTTGGAATGATCATGGATCAAGAGCGTTTCTCGACAAGCAGGGTTTCACGCAACGTGACGAAGGTGATCTCGGTCCTATATACGGTAAATACATTCGTTTTGATTAGAAATAGCGTTAGTCTTTCATCATTTATTGACCGAAGCGCATTACTACTACTTATAGAGAATAATCAGGACGCTACAAATGTGAAGAAAATATACAGTAAATGCAGGATTATAACTTCAATATGGGTTTCAGACTAATATATGCCTCAATACGAAAAGTCCTCATTTCGACCTGTTGGGTATGATCTAGTTTTGGAATCGAAAATATTGATTTTGACATCGTATTAGTTTGAGTTTTGGTTACGACGTATCACTAGAAAAATTGATCTGAAAAATTAATGTAAAACGATTTCCATTGTTTTATCTTATTTTCTTTCCTTTTCTATTACAATGGATATGTTTTGAGGGTGAGTGTGTGTATGGGCGATAAAGATAGTAACTTAAGCCACTCACACTCACCCTTACAGTCATTATTAAATAATGCCAAAAAGATTAAAAAATAATTTTAATCTAGGTTTTCAGTGGCGGCATTGGGGGGCTCCGTATATCAGCTGTTATACGGATTACACAAATCAAGGTATTGATCAGCTCGCTCAACTCATACACTTAATAAAAACTGAACCGAATTCGCGTCGTCTCATTCTGTCTTCATGGAATGTATCTCAGTTATCTGAAATGGTCTTACCACCGTGTCCTACTCTTTGCCACTTTAATGTGTCACCCGATAAGGAGCTCTCCTGTCTTATGTTTCAACGTTCTTGTGATTTGGGTCTTGGTGTTCCGTTTGACATTGCCTCATACTCACTTCTCACCCACATAATAGCCAGCGTGTGCCATTTAACACCAGGTGATTTCATATATGCAATGGGCGATGTTCATGTCTATCTGAATCATATAGAGCCACTAAAAGAACAATTACAGAGAAAAGCTCAGCATTTTCCAACACTAATCATTTCAAAAAAATGTGACAACATCGATGAATTTCAAGCCGATGATTTTAAAATCGACGAATACAGTCCTCATGGTGCTGTTCAAATGAAAATGGCTATATAAATCACTATAAAAAACAACAATTCAAGATTAATCTCCGTCGTGCGTACTGTCTTCGTCTTGAAGAGAATTTTGTTTCAAATAAGCTTTATTACTTATCCTTTTAGATAGAGTTCCAACATTTTTCGGCAAGGAATTAGTCTTTTCAAACAAAACTGCATCTGTGTAGAAGAATTAGTAACATATTTTTCAACGGAGTGTGACAATCTGCTCTTTATTCTTTCTTATGCATACACAAATATAAACTTCTAAACATCATATACTAATATTTTATTTAGATATCTTCACGATTAAACATGTTCATTTGTGAATAACTACGTTTCAATAAACTAATAGTGTATATTTCAAGAGAAAAGAAAGTCGAAAAAGTCTAATTTTTAAACTGTTATTATATGGGAAGCGGATGTATAAGATAACTGTACACAGTATACGTAAGCGGTTATCTAATGCATCTTAAATGATGGATACCTGACCGTTTCCGTTCGTGGAGGTTAGTTTGGAAAGTTTTGACACATGAAACAACACGATTTTCTCAGCAACAATGAATACAATACTGAATCTATTCAAAAATAGTACTCCTTTTTCTAGATTAATACTGAATGTCGAAAGATATTGTGCAGAGACTATGGGATCACGTGGAATCGTCAAAGGATTTTCAAAATAGTTCTACATTTCTTTCGATACTGGAAAAAGTGCGCAACGATTTGTCAAATGAACGGAATATTAACCATAAGACAATTGCTCGATGTATCAATCTCGAAGGTAAGCGGAATACATATGTATATATATATAATGTATATAGAAATTCTGTATAGGACTCGATGGAGTTGGAAAAACAACGTTGACAAAGGAGCTATTGAATTCGCAACTTGTTCCCGATGTTCGTTTAATTCCTTCTGTGCCTCCAGCTCTACTCTTGTTTCGCCCGTATTTTGATCGACAAACTGAAACAGTAAAACGAAACTTTTACAACTTGTGCAACATCATGGTATCGCACGAGCTTCTTTTAACTCCGGACAATAATGTAGTGATTCTCGATCGATATTGGCCATCTACAATAGCCTATCAACTAGCGCATCAATCAGATACAACATCTATTGACGAACATCTGATTTGGCCTTCATATCTCATTCGCCCTTCACATATCGTATACATATATTTGAATGAGGAAGAGCGTTGTCGACGAATTCGCATTCGCCATTCATCGTTGCCACTTAATATAGAAGAAGAAAGACTGGCATCTGATTTACAATTTCGTTCAAGACTAGATAATATTTATCGCCGGATAGAGAGCATTCATGTAATCAATGGTGAAGGAACGTCAACAGAGATACTTGAAAAGATCATTAAATGGTTCAACGAAAGTTAATTACACTTTGAATATATACACGAGTTCATTATATCAGTGCATAAATACATTGCCTATTTTGAAAAAATTAGGAATTTTGTTCTATTCTCAAAAGATAGTGCTCATAGACAATCTGTTTGAGATTGTGGTCTAGGCCGTCACAGACCTAAAAATCATATAGCCTATTTGAACACCTGAGCTCTACTATCAACTTTGTGTATGAGTTTCTTAATGATCATATATTAAAACAAAGTTGAATTACGTATAAAATACTTGACCAATTCAGTTTACCCTTTGATTCGATTACTGTGAGAACTAATAAGGCAACGAGAAAGATTCCTTAATACCCGTTGAGAGTATAGATTTGGGTAATGAATGAGAAGAATACACACCCACACCCACACCCACATCCTAGCCACCCCACCCTTGTAGCTGAAAAAAATGATACAACTGTACCTTTAGACGTATTAACACCGTTACAACAATTATCACTAGATAACGTACAGTTTTTAGTGGTCGAAGACGATCATCGACTAAATCAGTCAATGATCGAACAGAATCAGCTAAGAGATTTAATCAACAATAATTATCAGTCGACTGTAGCTACTAATACGATCAATAATTATTTCCATTGCGTAAAATTATGGCTCATGTGTATGCTTTCTTTAACTATGTCATTTATTCGAGAACCATTCACTCTTTATAACACAATTCAACGGCTTCGCAAACAGAAAAAAGCAATCATCGAAACAGACGAACGTTAAATATAACTTAGTTAACAAATCATATCTCGATGTTAGGAAAGATGAAATTTTTTTTTTGTTTTGTTACTACATCTAAAATATTTTCTATAAAAAAACATTTAACTAAAAATAACAAGGGTAAAAAAAAAGAATCTGGCATGCAACAATGAATAAACAAACCTAGGTTTCAGAATATGTGGGACTTTGCATCTCGTAGGATATTTTCCGTAAAATGTGCACTACAGATATACCTTATGCTAGAGTTATGGTCCAACAAATAACAGAATAATTGATCACTTCTAACTCGATCTTTACAACTTTTATAAAGATTGACTGAGATACCAGAAACTTCGAGAGTGAGTGTGGGTGTGAATATTTCTCTCTCACCCACACTCTCAAGTTCATAAAGACAATAAGGAAAATCTAGAGTAAGAAGAACTTGAAATAATAATCACGCACATCTGGAATATATACTGAATTGTGATTTTTAGCCCATATAGGCTTATAATTCTGACTTTTCCAATCCTCCATTACAATCCATACGACCTGTACCAATAGATTTCTTACATCTGATTTTTTGTGCTTCACTTGACATTGAACGAGGTGAATACGAATTATTTGCTCCGTTTGTTATATCATTTATTTTTCCTGCTAAAATATCTTGATAGTAGGTATGGATGTGGTTATCATCAATATGATACACCCACACCCTTGATTTTTGAACAATTCTTGGTGGAATACATTTTATTTTATCAGAATGAAAAAATAAGTTTTTTATATTATTTTCAGTAGAAAGTTTAGAAAGATTTCTAACAAATTCTATGTGACAATTTGATCCAAAATGGGAAGAACTATTTGCTCGTTTTCGATTATATTCAACTTGAAGATTTGTACGATGAAATATAAATACATAATTAAGATATGCTGGTAATTGCCTTCGTTCTAAAAGAATTTTTGTTGAACCAATAAAATAATTTTTAAAATAATTTTTTCTTATTTTTTTATTTAAATTTAATACATATAATATTTTCTTTAGATCAATTTCACATTGATTATTAGGTTTTTTTTATTATAAAGTCATTGTGTTTATTATTCTCTGTTTATTAATCTTATTTTAAATATAAAAGAATAATTAGATAAAATAAATTTACTGATAATTTCTTATTTTTTAAATAAATTTGTTCATTTATTGATTGATGATTTGATGGTGGTAGTGGTGTGTCAATCATATTTAATATTTGTTCATAATTTGAAGATTCACATTGATTATTATCTATAAAAATATCATAAAGAAAATCTTTTGATGCAAAGAAATCTTTTCTAAAAATTTATTTATTTGCATCAATCTTTCAAATAGAACGTACTCATTAATATTAGTAAGAAATGATATATCTTTATCTAAATAAATAAATTTTGAAAAATATTCTTAAATAAAAAGAAAATATTTTTGAATAGTTTCATCATTATAGAAATTCAAATCAATTGACTCATCTTTATTTAAATTTGAAGAAAATTTACAATGATATAAAGAAGAGTTTTTATTAAATTGATCATAAAACCAAAAGGATTTGATTTAGATAAAATTTCACCTTGAGTAAAACTTTGTGAAAGAATTCCAGATGATAAAATAAAAACTTCGTTTGGGTATTGAATTAATTTTTTATATTTTATATAAAATAATAATGGATCAATTAAAATTTCATCATGTTTAATACATATTGATGGATTATTTTCTTAAAATATATTTTCCAATTTCTTTCTTTCTTCTACTGTGATAATATACCAATAATGGACACCACCCTTATGATGATAATTTAATTGACAAAGATTTTGTTTATTTGAGGATATAAGAAATATTGCAGCAGGTCCATGTGCTTTAATTAATGTTGATGAATAATTATTACAAAATTGTTTTCCAGATAATTCTAAAAGTGATTGGGAAGGTAATTGATTACGACGAACACGTTTTCAAAATAATGTTTTATTATTAATAATTGAAATACTTGCCATATCTTGTGTATTAAATCCATTTGGTATTAATAACCAAAACATTTCATCACTTATTAAAATATTTTCTTTTAATAATGATTCATTTCATTATCTTTCATTGACAATGTTGGAATATCATATGATTGTGTGGATATTTTTTTATTCAAAACCAATAGAAAAATAAGCCTTTCTTTTTCTTACTTTGTAATTATCGATAATGAAATGTATTTATTAGAAAACGATTTTTTTTATCGTTTTTATTCTATGATTGGTAAATAAATTCAGATATAGATAATGTGACATTTTGATTCGAATCAAGCAGGTCCTAATTGTTTACTTAAACATTTTGTTAATTTTTTAATAGAAAATTCAAAAATAATAGTTTTATTCAAGATTATTACATTGACAAATGTTCGATTAAAATAAATTCATGAAAATATCATTTTGTTTCTAAAAAACACATTTTTATCTGTTTATCTGATCACATCAAAAAGGGTAATTTCGTTTTTTTTATTTTGATCAAGAAAATTGGATGAATCCTTTTTTTCCTCTCAAATACCTTCTACGAATACAAACGAAATAATAGACGAAAAAAAAGACATGCTTTTCTTTTCCTTCATAATATTTATTTGTTTTTCTTACCTTGAATAAAAAGGTATTCGTATCATGTTAATTGATGTAATTTAACATATAACAAAAAAAAAAGACAAGAAAAACAAAAAATATTTTATTTAAAAAAAGGAAATCTTAAATATTGGTCAGTCATATTCACAAAGCATAGATTTATGTTATTTCGTTGATTTTTCTTTACTTTTTACCAACTTTTATATTTAATCAAGTAGTTTTGATTTTCTTTCTTATTTTTTTTATTTATTAAAACTATCATTGAAAACGCGTATTGCTTATCGACATTTATTTTCTTTAATGAATAGATTTTTCGTTTATCCAGTTATGAATGAAATAAAATAAATCCCGATAAAATATTAAATTTCTTATCAGATGATTCAAGTTAAATTGAAATGTGTTTAATATTTTTTTATCATTCATAGTAATTAGATGCACATTTTTACTTTTATATATCCAAATGTTATGAAAAACACAAAGTTGGTTCCAAATCGGCCTTCGTCGCTGATACAAAAACAAAAACTTCGAATTATTGAAAAGTATACACTCATCCTCACCCACACCCATAATCACCATCAACCATACGCAGCCTATTATTGCCAGTTACTGTGTAAGAGAATTACAAAATAAATATAATTGAGCATATGCCTATGATTCATAATGAGAGTTCCATACAGCTAATATTTTTTCTTTATTTAATAATCGAAATAAACAAACAAAAGAAAGATACAAACGATATAATATAGAAATAAAACTACTATTCCATCACCACTACAAGCTTGCGACATGTATTGTGCGAAAAATAAAAATAAAAATAAGGTTTTGTATACACGATAAGTTAAAGCAATGTACTGAAAAATGAGTAAAACGCAAAAATAATACGAGTTTCGTTCGTGGATTTCATTTATTTTTGAAATATTCTACGTCGGAAAGTCATCGCTGGACAATAGCATCGCGCGAGCAGCGATGCATTAGTTTGAGTTGTGCATTTTACATAGCATTGCAGACAGGTATAAGGATCAGGCGTACATTTTGTTGCGCATTTATCGTCTAAAGCAAGAGTTGAAAGCTATATCAGTCATTACAACAACCGATGATAAATTACTAGTTGGTGTGCTCACCAGAAAATATTCATACATTCTCAAGTGAAGATCAAATGATTAGAAGAGATTATTTATTTATTTCATAACTTGATTAGTATTTGTGCAAGTGCATAGTCATTAAAAGCTGCATGATCTCATCCACTAGTATATAGAGTAATCGAAAAGTCAGTTGACCGAAGTCAAACTTGAATATCTGTGTTACAACTCGGTGAAACAAACTGATTTTTTTCCATAAACTAAAGCGCGCTCACATTTCATATCCAAAGCGAGCAGCTAAAAGACGTTCTTTTTAAAGTAGTACTATTGACTGAAACAAAAGCATTTTACTTCTCAATAGATTGGAAAAATAACAATGTAGAGGATGGTACCAGGGTCACTTTACTGAGAAAAAAATCGAATATCTTCATTGTGGGTTGAGCAAGGAAGCTGATTTTTTTAATCACGATAAAGACATGTTCCAGAGTTATATCCATACAGACAGCTGTAGAGACATCCTTTTGTTAACTATATTGTTTTATTTCCTATCTGTGCAAAAGTAATTTTTTTTGTTGAAGTTAGTAGTACTACTTAAAAAAGGGTCTCTCTTAATTTCTCGCTTTGACTATGAAATGTAAACATGCCTTAGTTCGTGAGAAAATGTCAGTCCGTTTGATAGAGTCATAAAACAAATATTCAAACTTTCTTCGGGGAACTGATTTTTGACACACCGTGTATTTTTACACTGCTTGAATCAGCCCTTACTCAGACGCCTGCTAACAACTGATTGTACTACGATGAGGTTAAACCAATTGTCGAAAACTCAGGTTTTCACTCAGCTAATCATAAAGTGTATGAGAAAAAGGTTTCGTTCAACTTACTGCCATAATTATTGCCTCCTCGTTTCTGCGAGTAGATGACCGATCTTTCGCTGTTTTCAAGATATTCACGTAGCTTTTCCTTAATCATAGTTAATTCGGCGCTATCCAGTGATGGATAAGTCTCACATTGATGAATCAATATTGAACCAATTATGAGTAACACAGTCGACACGACGATGGCTCGATGCATATTCTTAACGACAAGAGAAAACAACATAATCACAAGATTAAATGATAAGCAACCTACGTTTGATAATTGTAATTGGTGAATTCGATCGTTTGTTTAGAATAGAAGCCGTACACGACTATTTATTATCTATCTGGTATCTAGAAAAGAGAAATAAAATAAGCGTCGACGATGTGAAAAAAACTTTTTAGTTATTGTTGATCTAAACTTAGTTAGTGTTGAACCAGTCTGAGCCAGAGCTAGTCTCCTAAACTGGTCCTATTTCGAGCCCTGATATGAGAGACTAATTGAAGTGTCTTTTTAATTCAAAAAAAAGTAAACCGTCATACCTGCGGCATGTTTATTTATATTCTGTCGAAGTACTACTGTTGGTCTTTGGCGTTATCCAGTAGGAAAATTAAGAAGCTTATGTATCATTGACTACTTTATTTATGATTAATACTTGAGTAAAGACTGCGATCATTACGACGCACCGACGAAAAAAAGTGGTGATATAGGAATACTATATAAAACTGGATCAAAGTTATCTAACATCGAGAATATCAAGTTGAATATGAACTCATTATAGCTTACGAATATATATAAGTTTTACATATTCTCAAATGATTTTGTAATCATTAAGATATGGTATAAAATGTTCATAATTTTGCTCGGTATCAACAGCTTATTCGTTTATACTACGCACAAACAGTTAATAATATTGGATAAAAACACGGCTTACCTTATTTAATGCGTTTGTGATGCTTGATTTTCAATGTGAAAATATTAGAAATATTCGTTGATTATATACCAACAGCTCCTCCGCATCACTTCTTCTATTTTTTTTTGTTATCGTTTTCATTGCTCTTATCTTTCTTTTGCATTTTGTAACGGTGTTATGGCTCATTAATCCAGCTATTACTCATTTTTTCGAACTAGTAACTGCTGTACGTCAATCCAAATAAAAAATATTTGCGCATTCTTCCGAGCTAGTAACTGTCTTACGTCATTACCGAGGAAATATTTGCGCATTACAGTGATAATAAAAAATACGTATTAAAGCATTAATATTTTTCGCAATTACAATCGAATATATACACGATGTCCGAAAAGCCTTTTTCAGATAAATTTTTCATATCTCTTTATTATTCTATTTAGAAGATCGGTCGATAGATGCACGAAGTTTCGGTTTATATGAAGAATCTTGAAAAACCACTATGCAAAGCAAAGACCTTTAATCGAAATGCAAAAATTTTGTTTGTTTTCTATTTCTAGAAAAACTCATGCATAATGTCTCTTTTAAATTGCTTGAATTTCCATTTATTAGTATTAGCGTCGCTTTTCTCACCATATGCCAAAAGGAAATTCAATAAAAAGACTATCTAAAAGTCTGATAATTCATAATAGTTAAAATAGACATGTTGCACAATGATTTTGTGGAAAAAGAAGCTTCCGAAAGAAAGAGAGTGCAGAAGACTTGAACTTTATCCAGATTTAGTTTTACGAAATCTTATATTTTATTTGATGCATTTATGTATCTCATGTTGATTAATTTATTTAAACTGGAATTAAAATAAAAACTAATTATTTTTGATGTTGCACGCATTTCCTGTTGTAAAGAGCAAATCTTAGTAAATTCTTAGATTTCTACAAAATGTTGGTATCACTAAATAAAATTCGAATTTCTACTAGTGCCCATATCAATTCACGTTCTATTTGCTAATTAAAAAATCGAATCTGTTATTTGCATTCTTTTCAATATCGTATTGTTAAGAAAACAGAACGTCATCTATCAATAGATTATGGATACTCTTAGAATACTCTTTCATAATCTTTACAAATTATTTTCAAAATTACAATGTTACAATTTATTTCTCGTACTGACATGGTTTGTAGACACAATTCTCATATTAGAAAATTAAAATTTTATTTTTTGAGTTGTTATTTTGTTTACAAGGATATTTTAGATACAGTTTGTTGATCACTGTTTCTCTTTCTAATCGAAAAATATTTTTTTTGTTATGATTGACAGTAATTATCTTCATGCATAATTTCTTTTTTTCTTCATATACAAAATAATTGATGACTGATCACATATTTCACTGACAGATTGGTAATAATAATAAAATCTTCGCAATAACATTTTTTTCTCATCGAGAATGCATAAAAGAAAAAGAAAATTGAGAAATCTTATTAACATTTTATTTCTCGAACCGATATAGTTTGTAGATGAAACTCTCATATTAGAAAATTTAAATTTTATTTTCTACATTGTTATTATTTTTTACAAGGATATTTTAGATACACTTGGATGATCACTATTCACTTTTGTAATTTACGGACATTTTTTTTTCGATAGTCAATAATTACCTTGGCGCATAATTTCTTTCTTTCTTCGTACACAAACTAATGGATTACTCATTACATATCTTACTGAGAGATAACCAATAACGTATAGTTTTCTTCATTAAAGATTCATAAAGGAAAAAAAACTGAGAAATATTATTAACAGTATACTTCTCCAACTGATATGATTTCTAGATAAAATTCTCATATTAGAAAATTTAAGTTTTATTTTCTTTGCTGTTATTATTTTGTTTACAAGGACATTTTGGATACAGTTTGTTGATCATTCTTTTTTTTCTAGTCGAAAAATATTTTTTTGTTATGATTGATAATAATTATCTTCTTGCACAAAATAATTGATGACTGATCATATATTTCACTGACAGATTGGCAATAATAATAATAAAATCTTCGCAATAACATTTTTTCTCATCGAGGATGCATAAAAGAAAAAGAAAAATTGAGAAATCTTACTAAAAATTTATTTCTCGAACTGATATGGTTTTTAGATAAAATCCTCATATTAAAAACAATAAATTTTATTGTCTGTGTTGTTGTTATTTTGTTTATAAGGATATTTTGCATGCACTTTTATGATCATCTTTTATCTTTGTAATCAAACGACATTGTTTTTTATGATTGACAGTAGTTTCTTTTCTCTTCATACGCAAACTAAGCGATTACTCACCACATATTTCACTGAGGAATACGCAACGTTGATGAAATCTACGTAATAACAATTTTTTTATCATTAAAGATGTGTAAAACTGAAAGAAAAATTAAGAAATCTTATTAACACTTTATTTCTCGAACTAGTAAGGTTTTTAGATGAAATTCTCATAATCGAAAATTTTAATTTCATTTTCTGCTTTGTTGTTATTTTTTTCACAAGGACATTTTGGATACAATTGGATGATCACTGTTTCTCTTTCAAATCGAAGCACATGCTTTTGTACGATAGACAATAATTACTTTTGTCCATAATCTATTTTCCTCTATACGCAAAATATTTGATAACTGTTCACATATTTCACTAGAAATTGTGCAACAATGATGAAATCTTCACAACAACGTGTTACTTTTTGCGTGATCTAATAGACATCAAAAAGAAGAAAATTTTAAAAAAGATTGATGTGACTGTATATTGTCATTCATACGCGGCCGGTAGAAGCAGTGGTGAGTTCTGTTTTTGGTGACTATTGATTTTATACGGCGATGTGCTTATGCATCGATCAATACAAAAATTAGTAAAGTTTCGAATCTAAATTTGTTGTTGGATTGTAATACTAAATAAATATAAATAAAAATTATATATTTGTCAAATAGTGCTGAATAAATTGCTTTGTTGACAAAAATGAACAAGCAAGTGTAAACTATAAGAGCAAGACATACTCATGAAAAAATGTTTTTACTAATTCCAAATATCATTTAAATAACAAATCACGCTCATCTTTGAATTCGATCACCGTTTTCTCAGTAAACTGTACGATCATAATTATCTTGAACTGGGACTAAAACATCTAATAATCACAACAGATCACTACAAAAATTCCATATAATCTCAAATAACTCCCGGACAGGTTTTGAAGCAAATATTGTCGGTGGAGAAAAATTCCAGATGTAGAATAAGAATGCTCAACTACTCAAATAGCCGTTGAGATCTCGTAGGAATACTACTGACAATAACTGGAAAAAACCCAAATCTCAATTAGAAAAAGGCGAAACAAGTCACATGTTTCACACAGAATGTGAACCTGCACAGCGTCTTATACACTCTTTTCCGCTCAGTTACATGCGAGTTACAGTTCATTTTCATCATAAAATCAATCAAGTTTATTGTTGAGATGTTAAGCTGACATAGACTTATGCATGGGGACGAACTATCCGGATAAATATATTCCTTTTCATATTTTTCTGATATCGGCTTTGCACAAACACATTAGTTTCTAAACACAACAAGATTCTTATTAGATACAGTTTCGCGATGAATTCAAAAACGGGTGGGTGCGGATATAGGTTTACTCTTAATCAGTCACCCACACCTGATGAGCAAGAGGTTCTTATTTTACCTCATTCAATATTTACAGTAAAAATTATCAGCGAATATGATGAGAAAGCTAAGAATGGAATTATATATCAACTGGAATTAGAAGAATGTGATTAGAGTGAAATGAACATAGCGTGACAGATTTTGTGAAAAAACTACATCATTTAATATTGATAATGAATTCATTTTCGTATGATTTATTTCAATCTCATCAGTATACTATTCTGTTTGTCTACTTATTGACTTTCAACTTCTAAATCAAATCCAGACTATTTTATAATTACTAATCTCATATGAATTTAATTTCATGAAAAACAAGAATATCGATTTCTTGCAAACATTCTAATAAATAGAAAGTAATTAGAATAGAATTTCTTTTCTTTTTCATATACTTTGAAAGCAACTATCTGTAAGTAATATATTTCATCATGCATATTTATAATTTTAGACGTATATAAAGTTTTGTTAAAAATATACCTCCTACTTTCGAAGTTTAAAATAAGTAAAATCAGTATTCTTTTAATCGTTGTGAGAGTGATTATTAAAAATGTTAATTGATAGACATAAAACTTTCGATTATGGAGATAATGCTTATCAGTCATTGGAAAATTCGTTCAGCCGATTAATTACATTTAATATTTTGATTAGTTGTCAAATTCCTTCGATCATTGGCAGCTTAATTATATTTTATTATTTCATTCGTTTACGCGAACTGCAAGCAAAACGACATCATCATGTGTAAGTATTTTTCTTATTTTCTAAATAATAAAAAAAAGAATTTTTGCCTTAGTGTAATATGTTTGTTAATCTGTAATTTTCTTATAATAACATTGGAATTACCTATTACTCATGTATATCTTTATTTTGGTGAATTTATTCCATCATCTTATTCTCTTTGTTTTTTTTTGATTTATATGAGTTATCTTCTTTTTCCATCAAGTGCATGGATAATCGTAATAGCTTCAATTCAACGATATATTTTCATAGTTCACAGACATTTTATGAATTCTTATCTCAAACATTATATACTCATATTTTTACTACCTATTTTATTATTAATATTTGGTATTTGGTACTTATTTTTTTCTATTCATGTCAACGATAACTTAATTATACACAAGCAAGATCTTTGGTTTCAAGTTATCCATATGGAGGATTGACTGGATAGTTAGCTCATTGATACCTCATGTATTAATTATTATTTTCAATTTTATAATGCCATTTATCTGCTTAATTAATCTCGCTGAAATTGTAACAAAGATAAAAGAATTATGTTGTCTTACTAATAGAGTAGAACCAATACAACAACAAATTGCAATAACATTAAACACAAGACGAAACATTCAACAAACATAACATTTTTTACATTGAACTATTTCTTCGACAACAATTGTACATGAGCTGCTAAAAGTGATTCATTTTTAAAATATAAAATTTCTATATATTCAAATTGTTAAAATATTTTTAAAGAGTCCCATCTGAATCCGCGCCCACCCACACCTTCAACAAAAGATGAAGAATTTCACATTTATTTATTCGATTTTCTAATCAAAAAATTTGTTTTTCTTCAAAACTTATTCCATTTTTCATTTAAAAAAAACTCTTTTCTTTTTTTCGAAATCAAAATTCCATTCTCAAAATTATTTCAAATTTTTCAATTCGATGATTAAAAAAATCAGCAACATAAAGATTTCCTTCATCATCAAAAGATAAACCACTAGGATGATTAAATTGATTTGATTTATTTCCTGCATCTTTTCCACCTACAACAATTTCACCTTCTTCGTTTCCTTCATACCAACGCATTATTCGATGATTGTAACAATCTGCCACATAGATTTGACCCAAATCATCAACAATTACTCCTTGAGGTGAAGACAATTGGTTGAGATTTCTTCCTTGACCATTTCCTCCAGCTACAATTGTTCCTTCTTTTGCATCTTTTTTCCATTTCATTACACGATGATTCTCGTTATCTGATACATAAACAGATTGATTTTCATCCACAAAAATAAAATTAGGAGAATTCAGTTGATTGAGTTTATCTCCTTTTCCATTTCCACCTGCTACCACAATTCCTTCATTATTATATTCTCCCATTTTCCATCGTCTCACTGCATTCTTCGCAGTATCGGAAACATAAAGAAACCCATGTTTATCCATTGTTAAGCGGGAACAGTCAGTATTGTGAATGAGAATTTGTTGATTTCGATGCGCCCATCGAATCACTCGTCTGTTCCCACGATCAGCAATGATGATCGAATGATCTTGCTGATCAACAATCACATCTGTTGGCTCATTCAATTGATCCATTCGATTTCCTTGACCATTTCCACCTGCAATGATATGTCCTTTCTTTGCATTATGTTTCCATTTAACAATGCGATGATTCCAACAATCAGCAATGAATATATTTTTCTTTTTATCAATGAAGATTCCAAAAGGGAACTTGAGTTGATTTAATCCTTCTCCTTGTTCATTACCAGCAGCCACAGTCATGGCGTTTTGTTTCCATTTGCCCCATTTTTGTTCTAGAAAAGGATGAAAACATAAGATTTTGCTGATTTATTTTTTGTTAAATAAAAATTTGAACATAAGTCAGTTTTGTTTTTATCAATCAAACACTTTTTGAATCTTTGAAGAAAACTTTTTACGTTATTTAACTTTATTTCATATTTTACCATTTCTTTTTTATATAGAAATTAAATTTTCGATTTCTATGAATAGTATTATTATTGATCTAGTTCATAAATCAACCAGTAATGTTCTTAATTGTTTTTATCTTTTTCTTCAACACTTTTCTTTTTTTTTTTATAATTTGTTGACATAAAGGGGGTGGTCGAAAAATCATGACTTTTTACTCACTCTGGAAATGTCATAATACCAAAGTTCTTTTCACCCAGATCACGAATCTGACATCCGTTTGTCTAGATCTGATCCCTTTCTTGCCGTATTTGCCGTAGGGGGGTACCTGGGTCTCAGCAGAGTAGTTCCTTGGGATGTCAAACACAAATACACAAAGTACTCAGAAAATTTTCTTTTCCCTCAAACTTTGTAGAGCGTTTTTTGCTGATCATTTTCATATAAGGAAGTTTTGGATTCTATTAAGAAATGACGACGCTATCGTCAAAATAAAAAACATAATAAAATACGGTAAAACAGTTTAAATTTCATTTTTTTCTTATAAAATATAGAAAAAAATTAGATCTGTAATCTCGAACCGACTGTACTCTGAAGAAATATGACATAGCAGGTTTTGTAGAGAAAACTGTGCTCTACAAAACCTGCTATATCATATTTCTTCCGACTATAGTCGGTTCGAGATTAGAGACTCAACTTTTTCCTATATTTTGTAAGGAAAAAAATGGGATTTTAAGCTATTTTACTATGTTTTTTATTTGGACGATAGCGTCCTCATTTCTTAATAGAATTCAAAACTTCCTTTTACGAAAATGATCAGCGAAAGAAGCTCTACAAAGTTTGCGGGAAAAGAAAATTTTCTCAGAAATTTTTCTGAATACTTTGTTTGACATTCCATCGAACTACCCAATACTAGACTCAGGTACTCCCCTATGGAAATTGTTGGAAAAAAAAGGATCAGATCTGGACAAACGGATGTCAGATTCGTGATCTGGGAGACAAGGGCTTTCGTATTATGACATTTCTAGAGTGAGTAAAAAGTCATGATTTTCGACCACCCCCTTTATAGAAAATAAGAATTATTGTTTTGAAATTATTTCCAAAAACTTACTTATTGATGAAATAATTGAAATTTCATTAATAAATGATTGCGAGTTTTGTTCAATAGAAATCTTTGTTGGATCATTCAATTCTTCTGTAATTGTTTTTAACTGATTTGTTAAATAACTTAGATTAATTTCATTAAACTCGTTTTCTTTGTGAATTTGTTTTATTTGTTCAGACAAATAATTAAATTTGATTTCAATCTCATTAATAAATACTTGTGAAGATTCAATGACAAGTTTTCTACATTCCTGTGCTTTTTGTTGAATCTTTCCAATTGAACTTCTTTCCCATTGATTAATTTGTTTTATTAATAAATGATTTTGTGGATTTTGTTTTTGTTCATTAATTCTTTGTTTAAATTCATCATAATTATTAATAATGTGATTTAGTTCTTCATTTAGTATTTGTTTATGTTCTGTTAAATCCGTAAAACAAAATCTTTGTGAACATCCTTCACAAGGATAAGTTATTTTTTCTTTATTGCATTTAAAACATTGTGTTTTGTTGTTTGCCATGGCCATGCCTTTGAATAGTGGTTGGTAGAAGAAATGAATATCGCCTTATCTACGTTTATAAACATAAACTTATAATGATTCAATGATAACAAAACCATCACTCGGTAGTAGAAAAAACCAAAAAAGATTTTTTTTATGACAAAATCTCACTGATAAAACTAATGTAATATCTAATATAGTTGGACTAAAATTGAAAATCGATTTCATTTGAATGTAGATAAAGATAAAACATAGATCTGCACTCTCCAGATGAATGATATATCAATCTATTATTCATCTAACTGCATTGTCATATTCACTTTCATCATCCCTCTTATTCTCAAAATAGGTCTTGTGTGATATTCTTCTTTATTCATCAAATAAATTTTTCTTTTACAAAACATTGCAAATGAAGAGGAGAAGAAAGATAAGAAAAAAAACACTTTTCAGTTTTTGATTAAATGTAGTTTTAGTATTTCATAATGACACAACATCAAAAAATAAAATGAAGAAAAATAACGTTTTTGAAAGTTGTAAATATTTTTATTTTGTTAATTGATGAAACTGAAAATCTATCGAAAATAAAGACGTTTATAAATATAATGATTTCACTGAAAAAAAAATTATATCAAAATAAATAAATAATATATGATCAAACTTAATCGTAGAAACGAAAGTAATATATAGAAGCAGATATCCGAAAAGCTTTTTTTTATATATCTCAACATAGATACATAATAAATATTCAATCTTTTCTTTTAAAAGATTCACTAGAGAAAATTCTAGAACAATGATGATACCAGATATCTGCGATGATTAAAATTAATGATACTTTTCACTATCAAACTATGTTTGGAAAAATTCTATATTGTTTTAAACCTATTCTTGCATAGAAATTCTTTTTGATCGAACATCTTTTTAAAATAAATTTAATAAAATAGATATTCTAGGATGTGAATATTCTACTTTATTCACTCCACATCTACACCATTCTCAAGAAGGCCGAAGGCGAAGAACTACACTGTCAGGAAGCCAAAGATGTAACAAGAGTATGTTGGAAACGAAACGAAATGAGTTTCTTCAGCGTCGTGTAATTATTTTTTTCTCTTAATTGTAAAAAGAAAGAGTAAACAAATGAACTCTCTTATGAGTTTATTATTCCATTCTCATTTTTTTTTGCAGTGTTCCTATTACACTGTTTTATGCTTGAGATGACGCATCAAATAAAAACCTTGCTGTCCACTTGGGAATAATCTAATTAAGCCTCTAGATGAATATTTTCTTTTGTTAACTAAACAATGGTTGATGAGACGTGTACACATGATTAGCGTTCGAAATCGATTTCGACATTTGGCAGATCATGTTGAAGAATTTGGTGTAGGTGTGGGTATGAGTAGGATGCACGCACACTAAAACCCAAGCTCAAACTGAAACCCTTAAGCTAATCTGCAACATGCTGAGATAGATTTGAAACGCAAAGCATCTGCACATGTCTCATCAACCCTTGTTTGGTTAACAAAAGAAAATATTCATCTAGAGGTTTAATTAGCTTTTTCCCCAACGGATAGCTAAGTCCTCAATTTATGCGTCATCTTAAACAGCAAATAGTGTAGTGGGAGCACTGTAAAAAAACGAATGAGGTAATAAACCCATAATAGTAGCTTTTTCTTTCTCCTCATCAAACATAATAAAGAATTGTATTTTAATAACTTTTATCAACATACAATTTTAATTAGTTTTTTATTTGATTCATTTTTTCTATAGACAAGGACAGGCATCGATATTTCACAGAAATTTTAATTAAACAAACTGTTTTTTTTGTTGTTGCTTGCTATTGTTCAGATTTTTTACTTATTATTCTACATACACATCATTTTATATAGTATTCTTATTCAAATATATTGACTCTAGTTCTCGACCGCAATTGAGAAATTCAAGCAAAAATTGAAGTATTTATTAGTATTAATTCCAATAATAAATGGCAACACGCGTCACTACAATACAAATCGTTGTGGATAGTAATTCGTCGAGAGAAGAGAAATCTATTCAAACAATATATGCACAAATTAAACAAGTAGAAATTGAATGAAATAATAATTATACTGATTCCTTTTCCGTCTTATCTATATAGGTTATATGCGATGAAGGTGCAGATGAAAAATTAGTAGCGGCAAATATCGAGGACAAATTAAAGGATCACCCATATAAGAGACAAAAAAACGAAATATTAGAAAAACTTGATGAAGAAAATAATTATGCAGCACTTCATTATGCTGTTCTTTCGAACAATGTTTCGATTTTTGAAACGTTAATTGAAAAATACAAATGTGGTAAAGATTGATTAAAATTTATTTTATTGCAATACTGTCGACTTTTTATTGCTTTTTGCAGATATTAATTTGATCGGAAATGATGGACAAACACCATTGCACCTGGCTGCACGTTCACGCGAAGTTGAAGAAGCTACAGGCGAAGAGGCATTAGTAAAACACATGTAGACCCAGGAAGATCCCCAAATGATAAACTGATAGTACTATTGAATAGAGTTCAATGAGCTTATTTTACAAAGACTCACGAAGACCCAGAAATGTTATAAAAGAGAAAAAGTTTTTTAGTACACATTTATTTTTTCATTCCGCGAAGACTCTCGAATAGGGCGGGTATGGGTGTGAGTGTGGATATCGTCCTTATCTCACACCCACACCCACCCTCAAGAAAGCTTATACCTTGCTGATTGTTTTAAAGGTCTTCATACTATACAATACTTTTAAGAATAAATATATACGTGTTGCAACATTTGAAACGTTTTCCATAAAACGATATATAAAAAATTAAATCCGTAGCCAAATGATAAAATTAAGATAAAAGTATCTTTTTTTGTTTTCTTTTAGCCAACCAAGTCAATTTTAAGTTATATGTTGAATTCTTCTAAAGTCGATATTTATGTTCAAGACAATCAAAGACGAACACCATTGCATCACGCAATTATGTGTGGCTGCATTAAAAATGCTGAAAAATTAATAGAAAAGGATAAATTAATAAGACGGAAAAGTCTACTTAATGTAAGTTATAATTTTGTATATATATTTAATTTACAGTTGCTTCATGCTGCACTCTCCTTCGATTATTAAAAACTTATTTTAAAGCTCTCTTAACATTTAATTTTTATTGGAGAATATACATTATCAACAGTAGTAACTCATTAGTGAAAAAATATAAAATGTAATTGTATCAATCTCAATACTGATTTTTTTTCTTTTTAGTTGCGTGATGTTCAAGGGGCATTGCCAATTCATTATGCTTGTCGTTATGGTACTAGAGAAATGCTTAATTTGTTTGGTGACAGCTTTACTCAGTTATTCGATGAAAAAACCCTCGACCAAAAACGACCAATAGATGTTGCTGCTGAATATGGCCATCTTGATATCATTGAAGAGTTTTTGCGTCAAGTACCTGCAGATGACTCAAAAAGTATTACAGCTTTGGCTTATGCCGCAATTCGTCATAAAAACAATACAGTTGTTTCCTATCTTCTCCGAAATCAATCAAATTATTTTCCTAATGATGGTATACTTCACGCTGCTTGTCGTGAACGATATGGACACAAATCAATATCGTCTTTAAGAATTACTGAAGAGGACCTACAAAGAACAGATCAAGATGGATTAACTCCATTAATGGTAGCTGTTAAACATCGTCGTTTTGAATGTGTTAAAGCTCTTCTTGACACGAAACAGTGCACTACGAGTGTTTTTAGTGAACGTAGCAAAAACCTTAAACATACGGTGCTTCACATTTGTGCAGAAGTACAATACAAAGAAATTACTGATATTCTTTTCGAAACGCTCAAGAATCTAGAGAACTTCAGAGATACATTGATTCCTCAAGATGTGATGGGAAATACATCTTTACATATCTGTGCTCAAAAAGGTAATAATTATATGTGTGAAAAAATATTAGAACTTTACAAAACCTTACCAAGAAGTAATCCAGGAAAAAAGCCAATATGGCTTCTGAATAATTATAATAAACTAACAGCTTTTCAAGAAGCTGTCAAGAGTAATCAGTTGCAAGTTGTTCAAGCTATGCTTACTCTAGTACCTCATACAGATTCACGGAGAAAGATGATTCGTGCTACTGATGATCAACTCCGTACAAGCTCAGACATCACAGAATCGAAGGGTAAGTCTACAACTCATGAACTCAGAATTAAAGAGTATATGAGAGTGATATAAATATATTTCTATATAATACCTAATACAGATCCACGGAAAACGATGATTCGTGCTACCGATGATCAACTCCGCACATGTTTACATATCGCAGCATTGAAGGGTAAGTCTACAACTCATAAACCTAGAATGAACGAGTATATCAGAGTGACATAAATATATTTCTATAAAATTAAGATACAATTAAATCATATTGAAGAATACACTTGTGTATGTATCATTTAATTATTTGTGAATAACCAATTTTCGTTTTACATAATTTACAAATAATCTTATTTCATTCAGTTAAGTATAGTTTTAAACACTAGAGCGCGATTTGCGACATCAAAAAATTATTGATGAATAGATATTAACTTTTAATCCCTTTCCATGAGTTTGTATCAGTTAGTTTAGATTTCTGGTGGTGTAAAAAAATGTAGTCATTAACAAGAATTTGCTTACATTATAGTTAATGGTTTATTTATAGGTAATTCCGAAATAGTAAATTTACTCATAAACGAAAATTTATTAGACGTAAATTATCCTGATATGAATGACAATACACCATTACATAACGCAGTTGCATGGGATAATGATGATGAAGAAGATATTAAAGAGCGACTTAAATGCATCCAGTATTTAATCGAAAACAAGGCAGATATTAATGCTTATAATATTCGGCGAGAAACACCATTACACAATGCATCTAGATATGGATCATTCAAGCTTGTTAAATCCTTACTCGACCATAATGCTGATCTCTTAGTGACTAATATAAATGGTATGAATTGTCTCGAAGTTGCAATCGAAGAAAAAAATGAATCAGTTGTTAAATACTTTATTGATCATGATCAAATATTTGATCTAATGCGTAATGCTCAATTTTCATGTGGTGGGAATGAAAAGAATAAATCAGATTCCTGGGCTGACACACCTATGAGAAAGCTTATTGTAAACATGCCAGATATGGCTTTTCTTATTCTCGAAAAGTGTACGATTGACATCGGTGACGAAAGAACGGACTTACACAAAAAAATATACAATTACGAATTCTTAGACGATGAATATTTTATTGGTACCTGGATAAATGGTAAGAAAAAAATAATGATCTTTCAATCAGAATTCATAGTTGCAGTTGTGACTTGCATACAAATAAAAATATAAACTACAGATAAAAAATGTAGAAAAAGCAGTAAGCACCGAAATGACACATACATGTTATTTTTAGCAAATATTTGCTAAGAAAATCCGAAATATAAGGAGATGGCTATCAAATGATTTCGATGATAGACGGATAGAAACCAGTTTTGTAAATGAAGATTTTTAAAAGATGTACGAAATGATTCAGAGCAATGAATACATTTTTGATAAATGATACAGTATACTGTCATCATTTACATTATTCGATTGTATAGAACCGTAAGTACCCGTTTCGATACGCATTCTGATATTTACACTTTCTTATGTGCTTACGAAATAACACATTAAATGACGAAATTATACACATCGCAAAATAAAATAAATAGTTTGATGCAAGGCGAAACATTCGAATTTTCATTTTATATATAATATCTAATAATTACTAGACGTTACTGCCGTCTCTCTACGCAAAACTAATTTCATACGTATATCTTTCCTCTGTCAGTTTTCGTTTCGTAAGAAATAAACTCTCAACTGTTAAAAAATATTTTTATATGGTGTTTTCACAACCTTTTCACTTAAGATTAAAGCAGTGCAGTCATACTGTACAATTTAATGTCGTATAGATCATGCTAATCTTTTCTTTGTTAAGGAAATATCATCAATGAAAAGATCAAGAAAATCAAAAAAAATACTACATATACACACGACTACAAAATTCTTCTCAAAAATCACCCACTTTTCTTAATGGCCAAACATAATACGATGAAGCTAATGGCACATCCGTTGAGTCAAGGTCTCGCTAAGAATAAGTTTCACAAATTTGGTTTATGGATATTTTCAATATTCTTCTTAATTTATTCTATTTTTATTGGCCTATTTACAACTTTTGCTATACGTATCAAGCAACCACAACACTATTATAGTATAACAAATATTACTTTCGATAATGATTTATGTGAGGATGTCTTGAAAGCACTTGAAAAAAATTCACCAGATGATTCTATTATGAAAGAATCATGGGATCATACATTAAGATGTGGTTTATACGTCTTTCTTATTTTACTTTTGGCAAAACATGTATGGATATTTTGGAGTTTCGTCAAAATTTCTATAACAAAGCCTTTTGTATTTATTTTCGAATATGGTGCAATAGTGCTATGTTTTCTGTTTATTTCTGACCATGAGTATCAAAGAAGTGTTAAAATGCGTTGCCCCGTGCAGTGGCAGCTTGGTGCATTTGGACTATTTATTGGCTACTTAGGATTACTCTATTATATCCAATATATACCTATCATTGGTATTTATGTTATTATGCTTAAGATTATCATCGTACGATTTATTTTCTTTCTTCCCGTGTTAACATGTTTATCGATTGGCTTTGGACTAGCTTTTTATATGCTTCTTCAATATAACGAATCATTTGATAGTTTTGCGTCTCGCGCATTAAGCCAAATGGGTAATATTTAAAAAAATTTACAAGTTTTTGTTCTAATTTACATGTCATTTCAATTTAGTAATAATGATGACCGGCGAATTAAATTTCTCTGACAACACCACGTCTGATGATGATCCAGCGAAACCTTATTATAAATTAATTTATATCATGTATGTTCTATTTGCTATAGGTGTGGTAATTTTAGTAGCAAATCTCTTAATAAGTAACGAAAACTTTTTCTATTCGGATATATATATTTATTTAAACACTGTTGTACAACATAGGTTTGGCTGTTGGTGAAATTGTACCATTAATGAATAAAGCCCGGGGTGCTCAAATTGACATGAAGTTTGAACTGATCGCCGATTATGAAATTCTTCGGCTGCGGCTTTATTTACTCGGTTGTCATTTACGTGCACATCGGTCTAAATTATTTAAAGTTCGTAACATGAAAGGAAGTCCTTGGCGGGAGAAATGCTATAACGGAATCGTAGATTTTTTTACGCATACAACTTATATTAATGAAGATATGTTTGAATCTATTAATGAAGCTGAAGATAAAACTGATTCTGCAAAACAAATGAGAATGTTGGGAGAGATTCAGAATGAATTGAAAAAGCAAGACGAATTCAAAAAAACAGGCAAACAACCAACTACTAATAAAGTCACCAAATCAAACCATAGACCGTAACGAAAAAAGAATTCTTATCCATAGCAACATATAAATTTTCTGGAGATCATATTGAACATTTTTATTAATCTAGCATTTTCCATTTAACCGAACTTATATTACTCTTGATTTTGACTGTGATAATTTTACATATTTATTACAGATACTCTTGCTTTATGTACGATTTACTATTCATTGAATAAATCATATAAATTGATACACTCTCATTAGATGAAATAACTGTCCCTCATCGTATTTCAAATGTCCATCAAAAAACGGTAACTCTCCTGTTATTTACACCCATATTACGCCATGTGACGAATAGAGTCAACAAAATAAAAGATAAATTGGGTGTGGGTGGGGAGTGGGTGTATGAGTGTGAGGATGTGGGTAAGTGTGTCTTGTTCAAACAAACGCACACCCACACTAAGTAATCATACGTATTTTGAAAATGAAGAGAAAAAATAACAATGCTGTAAAAGAGAAAAATATATGTGAGTATAATAATCAACGACAAGTAATGGCAATAAAAGCGTCCTCTTTGATTTGCAACCAATCGATTAGAAAATATTAAAATATGTCGTTCGATAGCTAACCAAGCCATTAAAATAATACCTCCAGTATAAAAACCATAATCAGCTGACCACCATAGAAGACAAATAAAAGGTTTCGATGGTTGAACTGAACCATATTGAAAGAAAACAAGATAAAAATTGATATCCATCAATTGAATAGGTGAACCAAAGACTAATATAAGAAGAATCGTATGATTTTGTAATGCATATCGTTGAATTCGATCAATAATAATCTGTAGAATTAGACAAAAACTACAGATAACTAATGGAATATTAAATAGAAGCATAAGCCAAAAACGAATTGGACGAGGTAGAGAAATTTCTGAACTAGCGAAAGATTTATCACTTTGATATGAACTATTGTTCACAGTAGACATAACTAACAGTGTAAGAAAAAAATAGTTTTATGTTAATAATATGAATAGAACAGGTGTCTTATAGGAAATGAAAGAAGAAGAAGAATATTCAAATTTTTTCAATTCCTTTCCATTTTTACTTTCCTTTGTTCAACTATTTACTTGAAGTATAATACAAATAAAAACAATAATGTTTATCTTTTTCTTCTTGATTATCTGTCTAAGTATTCTTTTAAATCGTTGTAAACATTCTTACGCATTGAAATTGTGCAGGGGGAATCATATATCTCTGTTTATTCATAGAAAACATATTGTTTCAGTTTTAATTAATTTCGCATTTCTATTGTCACATGTTCAAATTATAATTATTTTTGTAGTATCAAAGTAGAATCATTACATTACTACATATTATATAGAAAATGAGTAGTTTTTCTTCAAATAATTTCCTCTCTCAATGTCCAACAAGAATCTCCGAGTGTATAGAATAATATATGAAGTAAATCACTTATTCCGTGAAAGCAAAATTAGGTGTGGGTAGGAATACTTTCAGTTTTTCGTATCCACTTACCCTCAAGATGTTCTGTTTTTCTTTTTCTTTTAAAATCAATTTTATTTCGTCATGTAATGCAGATATTCATTACAAAAAAAATAGAAAAATAAAATATTTAAATTTTTTGAAATGAAACTTCGTCAACAGATTGGACAAATTTGTCAAATGCAGTAATACGTTCTTCGAGGTCATCCATACCAACCTAAATATTATTTATTAATATTGCTAAAAAAGAATCTTAATCAATAGAGAATATTTACTTTATCATCTTCAACGACACAAGTAATTTGTAATTTTCTGATTCCGTAAACAAGTGGCACGAGACGAGCTACAACAATAATTTTATTTAAAATATTTCAATAGAAATCGAATACTTACAAGTACCCCAAAGAAGTCCATCTAATTCAATTGAACGAACCTTTTTTTCAAGTTCTTCCATATTTGTTTTATCACTCTCTGGTTTAACCTAATTTAAAAAAAAATTTACTAAAATTCTATTCAATTGTTTAATACATACATCGAGAACAATTATACTTTTTGCAATAGGAGCTGGTTCTAAAAGCAAATCTTTTTTAAAATTTTCTTTTTCGTCTTTCTTTTTTTTTACTTTTAGCTTTTTTCTCATTATAATCATTTAAACGTTGTTTTGTAATTTCACTTTCTTCTTCATTATCATTATCACCAAATGGATCAAAATCTTCATCTAGATTAACAGAAGCTAATTTAGATTGATGTTGACCTTGGAATCTTAAGAAAATTTTAATATAACGATTGAATAAATAAACAAATTTACTTTTGTCTTTCAGCATCATCAAATGAAGAAATATGATTATACCATCGAAGAGCATTTTCAAGATTAGCCGATGGAGCTTTTTTTATAGCTTCAAATACAACAACATCAACTTGGCTTGGACAATATCT